ATGTAATACAGTAATATGATGTTATGCTTCTGTTGTGAGATTGCCAGCCGTATTCATGACTCATCAGTAAACCTGCATGTTATTGGGACCTCGGATTACGCTGCCATGACTTTCAAAATCTCTGTTACATATTAGACACAAATGCATTTCCACACTAATGCCATTTGTCATGTGGCTTGAACACCTGGGTATCTGTATACAAAGCAATTGGCAGAAACTCAAAGACGAGTTATTTAAATTAAAGATTTAATTAACAGCTTGGAGATGAACCTGTAAGCTGCAGGCGATGTGAGCGATCAGTGTCTGCAGATAGTTTAGAAATAAACGGACACATCATGTTTAGATGTTAATCGAGGGGAAACTGAGGGTTCCACCCACATGACACCTCAATCATCCTAACCCTTTATTACACAGAGTAAACATCATAAAAAGCCACTTTAAAGATGATGAGAGAAATCCGAATTTTGCTTAATATTTATAATGATGCGATTAAATTATTGTTTTTGCTGTCAGAGCTTGCTCCTGCTGCTCTTCCATTGCTCCTTTGAAGTCAGTTTTAAGTTGTGTTTCATGTGGTCATGGAGTCTGCTCGTATTGCTTTCCAAACTGCACACTGTCTTACTTAAATACACACTGAGCACTGTAATTTTTTACAAGTGAAGGTGCAATTTGCTGTAAATGCAGTATCAGTGTTTCAAAACCCATAGAGGGCCATTTCATTTAAACTCTTAATATTTAGGAGAGGGGAAAAATGAATGAAAAGTTAAAATGCACCTAAACAAGAGCTGCATCCTATAATTAAAAGTCGTAATCATATAGCGTTTGAAAGTGAATTGCTTCACATGCATAATCATTTTCAGACTTACAGACACTCGTTTCTTTATCAATGCTAGATCAAATCTAGTCTTTCTAGATTGTCTTTGATATGCCTAAGAATTAACAGAATGTATGGTAACACTTTAGTATAGGGACCAATTCTCACTATTAACTAGTTGCTTATTAGAATGCCTGTTATTAACATATTAGCTGTTTATTAGTACTTATAAAGCAATATTCTGCATGACCATATTCTACACCCCTAATCCTATCTACTACCTAAACTTAACAACTACCTTACTGTAAGCAACAAATTAGGAGTTTATTGAAGCAAAAGTCAGAGTTAATGGTTTGCTAATAGTGAGAATTGAATCTTAAAATAAAGTGTGGTTGAATGTATGTATTAAATGAAAGAATCACTTGAGCTTTTTGACTGTCCTTAAATGCACAGTTCACTCAAAAATGAAAATTCTCCCATCTTTTATTCACCCTCATGTCTTACTTTCGCCAGTGGGACACAAAAAGAAGATATTTTGAAGAACGCTGAGGTCCAAATAACATTGGACCTTCATTGTATAGACTAAAATTAAGCCATTTTTCAAAATATCTTCTTTTGTATTGCACAGAATACAAAGAAATTATTGCAGGTTTGGAATGACATGACGGTAATTAAGTCATGACAGAAATGTATTTTTTGGATGAACTATCTCAGGCTAACATCCTGTGTATTCTTATAATGCCAGATGCTTATTTAAATTCACTGATTAGGGAATTGCTTTGAGAATAACATTCTAGAAGATGTATGGTGACTGTGCTCTCTTTTTTTTTAAATTATGCAGCTTTAATTTATAAAAACACTCCTCGACCACATCCTGTCTTAATGCATCTTATCTTATCTTGATGTCCATTGTGACACTCTGAGTCATAATTCAATTCTAAAAAGTCTCAGAAAAACACTGGTACCATTTCATCAAATGATATGTGGTGTTTAAACTTTGTTTAACACAGTTTGGCCATAAAGCTGCTTCAGAGCTGCTCCATGATGTGAATATATGGCTATCAGGATGACACAGATGATACATAAATCACATTTCAAAGCTGGTTCTTTTCCATCAGTTCACAGGAGGCGAACAATGTGTGTCTTTCAGTATGAGGACACAGCTGGTCTGGTGCTGCATATTAAGTATTATAAACAAGCGTTGTACCTATTTTATTTGGGAGATTATCATCTTCTAGGCTTATTAGGAGGACATTTCCCATAATATTCTGAAGATGGGTTTACGCATGAATCCCCATGACTTTGCATTTTGTTATAGACTAGTTCTTGTATTGTGATACTATGCCATTGAGTAACTTTTGTCTCATATTACCCACAATGCTACAAAGATTGTCAGAGACTTTGTTGAACATCACCAGACAAGAATTCCCTTCCACCACAAACTGAAAAACATAAAGGTGTGATCATGAAGGTCGTACAATTTAGCTGGAAGTTTTGGATTATGTTACTTGTTTTCCTGCTAATAAATAATGATTCATGTGATGTTTTATTCAGCTCCTGATGAAACTGGTGACTGGATAAAATATTGTTTATTGGACTAAAAAAGTACTCAAACATGCACAAATAAAATGAAAATATGTGCTGTTGACAATACAGAGGTCCTGGTGTCTCAATTATTGTATTGTATCTTTACAATTTGACATTTTTGCCAATGACAAATAGAGCTGCCATGTCTTTATGAAGTTGTCTGTCACTGAAGAGAGAGGCAAAAAAACCCATTTGTCCTCTGAGGACAATCCCCTTCACCTAAGTTGTTTTTCTTTTGCAGGTTGAGCATATTTTTATGAGCTTCTCCAGCCCAACATAGTTATCTAAAGCATGTCTCACCACCTCTCTGAGTAAAAATGTCGTGTGGTTACAGAACTATGTGTGGAAATCATGTCAAGATACTCAGGCAGATGATGTGTTTCATACATGAACACAACTGGAAAAGCGTATAATTATGTGTGACAATATTTGTGTAGTCCCTGATTGTAGTCTGTAAATTCTCTGTGATGTCAGATTGGTCAACAGCATTTTTCCTCAGTAAGTTTTGTAATATCTAAAACGTATTCAAGTTATTCTTCAGCTATAATAACAAAAGTGCATGCCAAAATATATTAATAATATGTAAAATAATCAATAATAATAAGTTCAATTTTTGTAGAGAAAAATGGTTGCTACAATAGCTACTGTTCGAAAATGCTGAGTCAAAACAACTGATCAAAAGGTTTTCATAAAAATCTTTAAATATTTTTTAAATATTTTATTTTTGTATATAATATAATATAACTTTATTTTTGCATAATTTACATGCAATATCACATCTCAGTATTTTGATTCTAATACATTTTCCACAAACTAAAATGGCATTGAAATGTATTAATATCTCAAGGAGATGTTAACAGCATGTATTGTGACATATTTGTTGTAGCTTTACATTAGCTGAACATTTGAAAAAATTACTCAGCATCTTCCCTCTGTCTTGCTCTTGTTCCATGATGGTGACTGTGTCTAAATTTGCACAGCTAAGCTGCACAGACCAGCAAGCCCGTGTTACCTCAGAGTCCCCTTAACCCTCCCTCTCCATCCAGTTCTTCATCCTTCCTATTTTTAGAGAATATATCTTTTCCTGCTGAAATACAGTAAAATGCACTCAGGGCCACATGTCTGCCTCCCTCTGCTGCGCTCATACACAGTGCATATTTTTAAAGTTCTTAACTGCTGACTGGCTCGCTGACCTTCCTTCATTTTATATAATGCATGAAATATTAATTCCAAAAATAAATATAGGCTTTTCAAGTTCTACCAAGGTCTCAGCAAATGACCTTTTTAGATTTTCAAGATTCATTTTAAAGCAGAGAATTTTTCTTTCTTCATTTTACTTTCAATCTACTTATTGTTGCACCGTAGTCATAATAGGTAAAGATTTGATGTGGAGAGATGGAGAGAGAGAGAGAGGAGACATCATCTCTCATTCTGAAGAGGTGACTGTGCACAACCTTGATTTTTTTCAATGTTCACCAAGGCTGCATTTATTAACAGTGATACTATAAAATATTCGTACAATTTTAAATAACTATTTTCTATTTTAATTAATTTAATGTAATTTATTCCTGCGATGGTAAAGCTGAATTTTGAGCATCATTACTCCAGTCTTCCAGAATTCATTCTAATATGCTGATTTAGTGCTCAAGAAACATTTCTTATCATCAGTGTTGAAAGTTTCACAGCTTAAATTTTTTGTGGAAACAGTAACACATTTTCTTTCAGGGTTGAATTGAACAGAACATTTTTTGAAATGGAAATCTTTTGAAAGATTATAAATGTCTTTACTCTTTTGATCAATCACTTTGAATCAATTTAATGCATACTGAATAAAAATATTAATTTATTTTCAAAAAAATCATACTGACCCCTAATTATATATAGCCCTATATCTCAATGTTGTGCACAGTCATCAAATAATATGTAGCTTTTCCCAATGTAACTACAGGAGGATATCTGTTAAGGTAAAGAACCACTGCTGCTCACCACCATTGTCCTATATGTTTTTGAACACTCTTCCATTCACTTTTGTGCTCGGCTATTTACTTTTACTTCACCCCAGACGTCCCCTTCTTTCTTAAAAAATCTCAATAAATTTTCCTGAATTTCCTAGCATGTTTGTCGTTTATCAATATGCTGTGCAGTGTGTAATGGTGAGGTGTGGAGGGAAGAGATCTCCGTTTTAGGCCTGTAATTTCTGATGACAAATCATATGTCTGCATCACTGACACAAGCATAATGTATCTTAAAGACATAATGTCATAGTTTAGTACCAGGTATCGGTATAAAAAAGGACTTAAATCAGAATTCAAAATAAAAGCCAAATGTTTTCTTGACTTTTCTTCTTGCTTTATTGCGTCCAATAAAAAATGAAAAGCCTTTGCACTAATTTTAAAACGGTTGTCCTGTTTATGCTGTTATGAATGTGTACACACACATACACATGAGCACAATTCTTTGGCTGGACTATTCTGTGAAAACTGTATTTGTACTAACCAGCATTAGTTTGCTTCAGTACAATTTGTCATGCATTACCTGTTTTGACGTTTCCCACACACATTACTTAACTTGATGCTGAACCTCTTTTTAACTGTTTCAGAGAGGAGGAAATATACTTTTTTGGTTTATATGATGCATGGTGATAAGGAATAGGACGCCTCCCCCTCGAGGTCGCTGAAGTAACACCACAGCAAAACCATCCCACTTGATGTGGCAGGATGTGCAGGTAACAACAGCAAATACGTGTTTCAATAGCAACTATTAGCTGGAAGTGAGGTATGTGTGCGTGTGTGCGTCTGGGGCAGTTCTTGGGCTTTAGAGTGTGGGTGTGCTCCGAGAAGAGCAGCCACTCAAAGCTTTTCATTAGTTTTGCCTTGTTTCTCCCCTTTCCCTCTCGAGTGTGTAATGTGTGTTGGGACACAATGGGAGGATCTGCAGAATTGT